GTTCAAACTTATCCAGTACTCCATTTGAGAACATAACAAGAACTGACATCAGTTAATGTTCGTAGCGGATAGTGCACTCGCTCAGTAAGCGTTGGGTGCGGGCTCGAGTCCCGCCTTGGGTCAAGACTTTTTCCCATCAATCCAACATTTTTGTGACAACATTAATTTTGGCTCCCGCAGCCATGAATTTTGTTACGAAGCTCGGTTAGTCATAATCAGTGCACTTCCTGCCGTTGGGAAAAAGTTTCATAGAATATGATCCCCCCGCTCAATTTCGTCCTCTGCTACGACCTCTCCCCTCCCCATCCCATGGTACCTGCCTACTGGTCTTGCGTCTCTTGCCCCTTGCCAACATTTCCAAGCTTCCTACCTTTTTTCATGGAAATTTCCTGAAAATTTCCAGTTTCTCCTAGAAGTTTTGAATTTTGCTGTCGAGCGGCCCTCTGTTTCCTCATCGAATCGAGCCGTCGAGCGGGGGGGGGGGGAGGGCATATAGTACGCATGAAACAGGAAAATCACCAAAAGTCAACCACCACTCCTACAACGCCAAAACGTAAATACGACCCCTGCTCCCAACAATGACCAAGTACGACCCTCCAAATCAACTATCAAAATAAATTTTTCCCAGCCCAAATACGACCCCCTCTCCTGGCGGCCAAATACGACCCCCCTTGGGGATTCCCCAACAACGATGTGCCCTGGTTGGTGGGGGGGGGGGTGAGGGCATACAGAATCAGAGAAACGGGAAAGCCGACCCCGAAAAGTAAATGCGGCGAATTTCTTTCAGAGGCGAAAACGACAAAGCATCCCCCCTTTGGAATTCTCCCAATGATGAACGATGGAGTAGCGCCCGTCGCCCGTGAAACAAAAAAAAAACGACTATAAGAAACTATGATCATTTTTCATCAGACCAAGTACGACCCGCTGCTTCCAGCGATCAATACACTCGAAATCCCTGAGATCGGGTAGGCGTGGCCGCATGTTTCAACTTAACCTGAAGGTGTCTATGCTTCTGGTGAGATATTTTCATCTTGACACAATTGTTGTCGTGTCTCTGTCCAACACAGAACAAGATGACAGTTGTCCCAGACTGGAATATTCCACGAGTAACCAGTTCCGTGCCATGTTCAAATGCCACACCTACTCTGGGATAAGGAGTATACGACCCCCCGCTGGGGATTCCCCAACATAGGACGAGCCGTGGTCGTAATTGCACCCAAAAGTATACGTCGCTCTCATGGTCGCCCAGAGACGACCTCATAACGGGTTTTTGGGGGTTCTTAACGTATCGATTGTCGATTATTAAAAAAACGTTTATTAAGCTTTGATCTCACTAAAGTACACTAGTAAATGTTGACATATGAGGCACGCAAAGATTAATGTCCTTTGAAGGCAGTGGGCACGATCGCTAGAGGCGAGCGCTTGTCGTCAGTGTCAAGGGGCTGAGTGTGTTGTCGTGACATGCCCCCTCGCAGCTCCTCCACCAATGACGCTGACAACGACCGCCCGCCCCCAGCAGTCGTGCCCGCTGCCTCTAAGACATTGCTCTTCTTACACGCCTTCGGAGGTGTGGCTAGAATCCACGGAAAAAATCGTTTGGACAGCAAAGCTGGAGTCGAGGATTTTCTTGTTTCGTTAATTCTTGCTTGCAGCATACGTTTCGTGCCACTTTGAATCAATAAGGTAGTCTACTTGGACTGATTGTCTTCCATTTTTCTCAGTTCAAGTGAATATGACATCCCTACCCTTCGGAATATTCGTTCATTGAATTTTGAAAAGGTTTACTGGCTGAACCACTAGCAATAAATATCTCTTTAGCCGGCTCACAATAGCACAATTTCTCAATCATGCTGAAATCGAGGCCTTCCGCCGTGAGTGTCAGGAATTCGGAGAGCGGTTTTTGGGTCCATGTATCGACCACATGAAGGTGAGCTGATCAGATTTGTCCTGCACATCCCAGAGACTACATGTATGTTCTTGCAGGCATTCTGTAACACTCATAGTGTGGCCAAATGGCGAGACGTGAGAGCTGCTCAGATTGTTCGAATGCGTGAGCAGGGAAGCCATTTGGACGAGTCCGTCACTAACCTCGTTGCCTTTTACTCCATTATGATGTACATACTTGCCGTGTTGGCCGCTCGTTTACAGGTGAGCGTTGGAAAGCTGATTGCAATCTTTTCGAAATCTGCTCTTTTCAGGGTCTTCGCTATGAGATCACCATGGTCAAAAAAGCTTACGACCTGGACGAGCAGGTGAAAATTCTCTCACAGGTAGTGTTCGGAGCCTTGGAGCTGTTGATGAGCGACTGCGTTCTGGCCACCGAACCGTCCACCACCGCCATTCTCGTCACCAACAATCTTTTCAGGTAGTTATTACTGTTTATGCAGTCTCTGAATGGGATCGAGTAGTATAAGGACATTTTCTTTAGTATGAACTGCGGTGCGTTGGCAAGAGGAGTCGTTTTCAAGGACTTTGAAATCCAAGTTGTCTCAGAAGAGACCGCTGAGCATATTCAGGTAACTTTGACATTCTGTCTATTATTCCATTAGCTGGGGAGAGGTATATGTGACAATAGAATCGTGATATGGCGAGCTGGTAGGCGTGGCGAGCGACGTCGCGCCCGACAGACGAGTTGTCGTGCCTGGCTGTTAGAATATAAGTGGGAGAACTCGATATCGAAAACTCAGTATGAAGTCCTGCTTTGCTTGAATTCTTTCAAGCTTCACTGCTTCAATCGATAAAATGATTCACATCGAGAACTTGCCGCACAGGCCGCACGATACACTGCGCGCGGCGACACGACGCGACAAATTACGGTTCTCTTGTCCCTCTCCCCGAGAGAAGTTATGTTTTTTGAGCAAGTATCGTGTCGTTTCAGTCCGAAATGAATCGTGCTCGACTTCTGCAACAACCGAATCAGATCTCTCAACCTCCATCCGCTGCCCTTCTGGCAATGAAGCCCACTTCGGGCACAAAAAGAAGTAATGCTGCCAGCAATGGAGGTAGCATTCTGTTCTCATTGAATTCATAGAGAAGTTTAGCATTTTGACCTAGACTGCTAGTAAAATTCCTGAGGAGTTTCTCTGAAGATGGGAATAAGTTTTTCCAGCGTCAACTGCCAAGGATCGTCGCTCGGACAATACTGGAATGGACTGATGGGGTCAGGGGTGGGCAACAACAGCGGGCAGACGAATCACTCACTACGACTAAGGGGTAACTACTGTGATGGGGGGGGGGCAGAATGTGGGCAATGGGCAAATTATGAATGGGCAATGCAATGAATGAATGGGCAGTCAGTGATAGATGGCAGCTCTTCGACTTACGGGTCCCTACGTCACGGAACTTTTCGACGCTTGCTGTAGTTGTTCCTCCTCGCTCAGTAGCGGCTGTGGGAAGGGTTACTATCCGCTGGTACATCGAATGGCCACAGAAATTACTGCTTGGATAATGTCAGAAAAGTCCACCTGAAAGAAGGCGTGGCGCATCCCAAGGAGGGCTTGATTAGCACCAGATGCTTCAATGTTTTAAGGCAAGGAAGAAGCCAGAAAAAACGAACAGGTGGTTGTTAGGGCGTTTTCCTTTAGTCTAGTAGGAAGAAAGGGATGGGCAATGAAGGAGGGCATGGGGTGAACAATGATGGAGGGCTTGCTGAGGCAATATAGGGGAGCCGTATTCGAGCAAGATGGTTGGTGAGAGGATAGCCAGAATCGTGATTCGGCGTCACCTGTAGTCCATCGGGGCTCGGAGCGACGTAACATATCTAGGGTTACGGCAGAGCAATGAAACCTTTTTGTCTTCTCGTGGACTGAGATCCAGTTGTGCGTAACAGCTGGGGGGGGGGATCGTACCAAAGGTAAAGCCAGGGGAGGGGTCCGTCATATAAGTTACAGCATAAGCTGATCCTCCAGTGCAAAAAAATTCTACTCCTGTGTTCCATTGAAAGTTTTGACTCTTGTAATAACGCAATCTTTTTTTCAGTGTATAGTTATTTAAATATATCGATGTACACGGCACGTCCTAAGTTTGAAAGTCTCCAGTGTGAGGGGGTTGAGGGAGGGTCGCTGGGTGGAGGAAAGTCGTATTTTGTCCGAGAAAATTCTCTTTGATAATTGGCGTTCACATTGCGGAGAAGTCCATTGATAAGGGGCAGGACCGGTTTGCTAGACACTGTGCCGCGTTGCGAAAATTTTTTTCGGTTTTTGAATTTTCGCAGGTTTTCCCGTTTCACTGGTGCTAAACCCTCCCCCCCCCGCTGGACAGTAAACTTTCGAGTAAAACAGTAAAGTTTTCATGAAATTGGAATGTGGTGGGAAAGTCTGACAATATAATAAGGAGGTTGGGGATGGGTAGGGGATCGTATCTTCCGAAAATTTCCTGAGCAGCAGTACGTGCTCTGTCGAAATAGTTTTTAATGGTCATAAGGCGACAAGGTGGCAGTTTTTCTAAGAATTGATCATCGCGGTAGTAGTGCAGAAGAAGACTGAGGAAACCGAAAAACTGAGGGAAATTCTTCGCTGGTCGTTGGGTCAGAGCAGGGCCTATCAGTGGCCTGAACTTTCATTACTAATGCTCGTCTCCTCTTCATCGGTGAAGAAGTGAAACAGTAGGCGTGACACTGCCCACACGACCAGCGTGGAATTTACGAAGTCAGTTCGATCAATATATCGATCGAACGGTTGTTTGTGTCAAGTTATACGGTAGTTGCGAATGCCGTAGTGTAATACGATTGGGCGACGAACGATTCGTTCAGAGCGAAGCTTCGCTGAATCGGTGAGTAACACTGCTCATAAGAAAAGTGATGTGAACAGCAAAGAATACGTGACCATCTATCCAGTCTATAATGCCAAATACAGGTACGATTTCTGCTGTATTATTGGTACCGTAAGTCTATTATAATCCGGAATCTATTCAGATACTGGCAGGCTACCTATCCACATCTGCTATGTACTACTCGACAGAAAGGACCGACAATCCACTCATAACTCATTCCAGGTTGATTCCATTTCTGGTGAAAAAAAGCGCAGGAGCAATTTTGAATCGATTTGTTTCAGGATTTGTCCCCATCCAATACACAAAGCGACAAGTCCAACGGGAAGAGGCCAATTTTCTATTTTCACATTAAAGCGACGATGTTCAGGTAATCTCAACGCTACGCTCTTTCTAGATAGTAATACTCTACCCACAGTAAAGATTCTACTAGAGTGATTTAATGCTAAGAACAGCACATGCATGAAACACGTCGTTATGAGGATCGAGGTGGCTCACAGGCTCGTCCTCGCAACCAAAGTGATGGGTAATGTTGCTCATATAAAAATGGCAAAACAGTTAATAGAGCTCAAGAAGAAAAGCCTTTCGAAGTACCCTAGACAGAACTCGATTCGAACTTGCACCAGCCCCAGAGGCGTGCTCGAACGAGTCTCACCTGTTGCTATCACAACGATAATCACCGTTTCCCTATGATCTCACTCTTTCTGGTTGGATGGAAAAAGGCGGTAGCGGTGGACCACGCCATTAAAAATCCTTTTAATGTGACCGTTGGGGGCGGTATAAAGCAGTAGACTGGGAATTGCCTGAGTTGCAAGCGGATGACGTCGTTATCACGTATTTTTGAGCCTCGAAAGTGACACATGCTCTGTGCTCGCTTCTGGGTCTACGAACAGTACACTGAGGGTACGTCCTGCCATTGGGGTAAATTTCTGCAGAATACGACTTCGCTGACTTCTGCTCTATTAGGACTCCCCAAACTTATCTCCTCTGGGACGACTCTCTCCCTCAAGGTTTTGTCCTCTGGTATGACCCCCTTTCCCATCCTACCCTCCAATTCTCAAATCTTCCCAGCCTTCCGCCAAGAAATCTCTACCTTCCCTAACAAAACTGCTAGGAGCTAGGCGTAGAGTAGTTCATTATAGCACACGTAAGACGGGAAAGACCGGGAAAAAGCCCCACAATTTTTTTCTTCTTGAAGGCAAATGCTACTTCCTTACCTTCAGCGAACAAATACGATCCCTTGCTGGAAATCCCCAGCTTGGCGCCTGTCCTGTCTGCACACCAGATGAAGCGGGACATGGCTCCAAAGACGAGCAGCGCCGCTTACTGAGCGCAAGGTTTGGGGATCATATCCTGTCCAAAATAACTGGACTTCCATCCCTCCGGAATCCGGTTATTTGGCACGAGATTCGTCTGGGAGGATCCAACCAACCACTCGGGCATCGCTTGCTCTCGCCAGCCACTGCTTGCTCTCGCCACCCACTGTATGGTTCAAATCGCATTGAAAGCGTCATTCCATTGTGGATGGAGGTAGAATGCGTGGCGTATTACAAGAAACCTCAACGGATCAGCTAGGAACTCTTTATAGATGTATCCATGACACTCATGTCCTCCCTGAAGCGCGTAGCTTCAGCCTCCACGGTTACTCGTGGTTCCACAGAACTTTAAAGGCGAAGCCCACGATCATTCGCCATCACGGATAGTGGATTAGGGATTTGCATATAGACGACAAAGTGCTGAGTAACCGATAGTGAAGAAAAAAAGCAGAAAAAACATGCCACTGCCTAGATAGAACCCCATTTCGATCCCAGTTTGTACGTGCCCAATTAACTCCATCTCCAACACTACGCCCTCATCCGCACAGCTGATTCCCCGATAAGAACTCTACGACCGCACAAGTGACAATTTTCGGCGGAGTCACTGGAAAAAAAGGAGGCTTCACTGAACCTATATTGCGCTATAACGTCCCTCCCTTTCATTTTTTTTGCCGCGAAACCGGCAAGTTGTACTACCCTCCCGAAGCCTATATCTTCTACGATACCTAATCGCGGACCGTGCCTTTAAGTACTTTGCTACTGTGCAAGACGATATTATAAGGAAAATTGAGTGCGGTGATTTCAGTCCTTCTGGAAGTTTCGCTACTGCTCACAACTTATCGCTTCCATTTACCATCGCTACCCGCAGGAATCAGGTGAGCTACGGCTTTTGGGACACTCTGTGCTTGCGCTCGAGAAAACGTTGTCGTCGTGTGCGCTCCGTTTGGGGATCGAACCACAACTTCCATTTAGGACTGTCAAGTGCAGCGAATGATGTCATCCTATACGGCCACAATCTTCTGGTTGTATGGTTGCAATCACCAGGAAGGACTGCTTTTGCAATGGGTCGACACAGGTAAGCTCTTTTCATAGCGCTTTCTTGTTTTTTTTTGGAATCGTAAAGTTCAGGAATGCACTGGGAGCAGTTCAAGCATCTGTACAAGCAGCATTTCAAGGTGAACGCCGGTGTACAGAGAGGTTTGATTGACGGCGATTTCGAGCTGCTCAAGTACAAGCTCCAATGTCCGGACTGTCAGTGCACGGAGGATGGCGCCACCGTGAACGGAGTTCAGCGTGAGTGAATGAATTTTTTGCTGCAAAAGGTGGGTACTTCAAAATTATTTTCAGAAATCGTCACTTTCAAAAACGTGCTTTGTCCTCATTTGCGATACGAGTGTGGAAGCACGAATGTTCGGTTTTCGGTATGTTACTTACAAAGACACTCTCAGATGTGTATGGGTTGGGAGATCCGCGTTGCAGCAACGTGAAAGCGGTGAGGCAAGCGACGTCACGTGCGCGGCATTCGCATCAGGATCCAATTGATTCAAGGGGAAGTATACAGAATGACGAGTCAGTTAGATAGGAAGTATTACTTACTATGTGCTCCTCGCGCGGTCTCCCGATCTTTACTTCCTAGCCTGACCAGGAAATGTTGTAGGAAGGTAGGAAGATGTGAGAATTTAAGAAGATGATAGGTATTGAGGGAAATGGCGAAGGAGATCGTACCACAGGAGGAAAATTTCGGGGAGGGTCATGTTTTGCGAAACGTGCCACGTGACGTGATCCCCCTCTCTACTTCACGCCAAATAGACCAAAATGTTCTTTCTCATTCCGGAAAACGGCTGGAGTCTAAATTTTAGCCTTTCAAAAAACCAAATTTCATGGATCTTCCAAAGGCGTTGGCTCCGCTAAGCGTTCCGAATTTTTTTA